GCGGTAATACATAGTTAAATTGCTGTTTACCGGAGTTATTTAGTACTATCGCGTACTTACTTAGTATTATCTTTCAGAATGCAAACGACAGCAATCTTCGTCAGTTGTACATAAAAGCATTTAACAATCGCGAATCTCGTCTGGAGACGAGGACCGGCCTTATGAAAGCTGTCAAAGAAAGGTACGGATTCTTCGTCAGCGCGACTCTTGCTCGGCGAGCCCTCAAAACAACCTTCATACAGGAACGATGCACCTTGAAAGAGTTGATGCTTCCACAAACACTTACAGTCGTTGCTCTTCCTATGGCCAAAAGTTGTCCGTATAGGAAGATCATTAATCTCAAGTATGCAAAGTTGTCGAATTTACGTAACACATTAGCATGATGAAATTAACATTAGTATTATATAATAAACATTAAAACTAATATTATAATTATCATAGTAGAATTCTATTATGTCCATCAATGTGAATAATTAAAAGCACTAATGTTCGTTTCTATCAATGCAGATCAACTTTAATTTCGGTGTAACTTATTTTTCATCTTTTTCTAATTCTTATAGAACTTTTCTATTCTTATAGAACTAGAAAAAAGTAAAGAGTAAATTGAACCGAGATTAAAGTTAATTTACATTTAATAGAAATAAGCATTCGAAAAACGTCAAGAGTTAGAGTTAAATCGAAATTAAAATTAAATTACCTTGGAAGAAATGGGCATTTAAAAGTAAACAGCAACAATAAACAGCTTCCTAATATTTTTAAGCTAATTGGTCAGTGGAGCCAATCGTAGAAATCATAGTATACTGTAACATGTTTTACCGCAGCAAGTTAGATCGTTCTAAAAACGACTAATAATGTTATATATTATACTTTTTAATCGGAACAGGTTCATACATGCGATGTCATTAATCATCCTCAGAGCAATTAGATTCGCTACGATCTATAACTGTAATACATACATTCTATAATACATTAATATATTAACGTATTATAGAATGTATTATTAATGTATTATAGAAAAATATGTATTAAGAAAAATATATTTAGAAAAAATAATTTTTTAATGCGCGTCAGTTAATAAATTGGCATCTTGTTTGTAATTTGTATTATTTTATTTACAGTATATTGCGAATCTACGAACGTGGCGTCCTGGATAAGATACAGGAACGGATGTTGCCGACGATGCCGCGGTGCGCAGCGTCGGCGGACTTCCATAGCGCGAGGCTCGCCGACGTCTACTCCGCTTTCTTCCTGCTGGTAGCAGGTATGGTTATTGCGATTTCTATTGGCATCTTCGAAAGAATATGGAATAAACGAAGGCAGATGCAGGAAACCGTTGTGCGCGGTATACGTAAGCACAATCTGATATCACATCTCCACTTTCATCATCATCATCATGATGGTGGCCACAATCGCTCCAACGATCTTCCTCATCTCGTTGCTGCTCCAACTGGCAAGTTACGCAGCTATGATCTCCCTTATATGACCATGTTACAAGATCATGCTCGTCAAGTGCAGTCGTTTGTCGGTTTTCAAGAACGTGATGTTTCTTCAGAAGAACCGAGAGGTTTGGAACCTTTGAAAGTACGGAGGAGATCAGCAGGTCCTAAAAGAGCATCTTGGTCTTCTTTCTCCAGCTTGTCCAAGAGGAAGATAAAGTCAACTAAAAGAATCCCATCAAACATGGAAAACATTCGAGTCTTTCCGTTTCACAATTAAAACCCGTTTTGATCCAAACATTTTTTCAGTGTGATGCTATTTAATTGTAAAAATATTTTGGATAATTATGACAATGTATTAGAGAGAATTCACATTTTGACAGAAAAGCAGAAAGCAGAAAAGCAAACGCCAATTAGAATTCGCATTCTGCTTTCTGGCAGTTTCTGCTTTTCTGCAAGTTAGCGCGAATTCTGATTAGAGTTTACTTTTCTGCTTTCTGTTTTTTTCTGTCAAGGTGTCATTTTTAGATAATTCTACATTTCACAATATACCGATATACCATTCACAATATACTATTATAATATCGTATTGTGTAAGTCTTGCAAACTTAAGTTTAGTTAAATATTTGCTTTTATTCAAATCATAAAATTATTACATCAAATAGCAGCATATTAAGTCACAACTTGACTGAAACGTCTACGTAATTAATTTTGAATATATGACTTGTGTGAAAAATACCTTGTGTATGTGATTGTATGCTCCTTCTTATTTATGTTTTATGTAATCGAACTACCTCTAATAACTTTTGATCGAATTTTAATTAAAAATAGATAATATAAATATATCACTCAAAATTATTATATATATTCGGCTAGAAACTTCACACGAGCACCGAAAATCGTAGGTACTTGTCGTTTGTATACGTTGCTTATACCTCTACAATCTCGTAAACTGCTAATCTCGTTTCTACGGTAAATATAAAGATTTTTATTTCTCCTTCAGTGTATCCTAAATTATAATTTATAAATTATTCATTCTGCATAAGCTATTAGGTCAGCATTAGTTAATCGATCTTATGAGACAAGGTCAAATCTTGCTGTTATCATGTGAAAATTGACATATTTTCAATTCATATCATTTCAAATTTAAATCATCTAATTAAATTTAACATAAACTAGAAGATGATAAGATAAAAAAATAAAAAGATAAAAGATGAAAAGATAAATTTCGAATTGAATGTATGCTGATATTATACCTGCAGAGAATATCTTCGAGATTAGGAATGTGTTCGTCATCCTCGCACCACTCCTTCCAATTTCTGTATAACTGCAGTTCTTGTATCTCATCGAGAAAGTTGTGACACATATTTCTCAAACTAATAAAAATAATTAATTGTTTATAAGCTAATCATTCATCTATTTTTATGATAAATTAAAAGAAATTCTCATAATTAATTAATCGAGTAAATCGAGATTGATGGTAATAAATGACTTGCGCGCGCGCTATGAATATAAAACCTCTCTTATAACTTTCACATTTTACATAAAAATTTAATTAATTCTTTCGCTATATTTTAGAAAAGTTATAATGTAAGCTTTTCTATAAAAATCTTACTTTTTCTCCCACAACCCATTCGCGGATGAAATGACGAGTTTGTCACCCGGTAACGGGTCGGAGATAAACTTTTTGCCATCAATTTCACGCAAACCATAGCTATAAATACCACGATTGTTGCATCAATGAAGAAGTGTGCTGTAAAATTATGTAAAAAAAAGAAACTGTTTACTGTTGAAAAGAATAATCGCAGATAGTTCTCAAAAGAAGCACTGTCTCCGTTTCATTTAGCCAATCATCAGGCATCATTATGTCATGGACTTCCAGCAGAGTTTGATTAATCTAAAAAAAAATTACGTGATAAAAATACATTTTGCAAAAAAATGGATAAAAATTTATATGAATATACATTATACATATTACATTATTTTAATATAATGCGGGGATACAAAATGTATTATATATATATAAAATAATAATAATAAATTTGTGTATGATTTATATGTTTAATTATTATACAAATGGTATTGTATCAAAAATACAAGCCTTCTCAGCGATAGCCATGCACATGGCGCATCTGACACACGCGGAGGACAGGTCGACGTGTATCGTGCCGCATGCATCTGCAATACAGGTCCCGTACGGAATTATTCGAACTACCCCAAAACCGGTAGATCTGCAGTCGCAATGGGGATCAACGGTAATATTTGTATCCGTCAAAGGGTTATAACGAACGGTGGTGGCACAGATACATTCGTCATCGCTTCGATGAGTGCACGTTTTGCTGCGCTTGCTAAAGATACAGCCATTCGAGGTAAATGCGAGTGACAGCAAAATCAGCAGTGTCGCTTTCGCGAGCATTGTCCTAATTTCGTCATGTCTTCTCCGGAAGGACGGACTCAGAACAAACGATTACATTAAACGCATTACAAACGAAACGAAACGAAAATATCAAATCTATATTCATCTATTTCAAGTAATTGACAATTAAATTAGCAATTCTGATGCATTACATATATTATTCATATATTATTCATAGCTGAAGCATGAAAACATATAATTTTTTAATAAAAAAATTATAATGGAATTCTATCATGAAAAAAATGTAAGCAAGAAAATAAAATCTCAATTGCTTCATATAATTAGCTATTTTGACGCATATATTAAGAGTCCGTAAAATACACATATAGACAGCTGAAGTGCGTATAATTTTTTTCAATAACAAATATATACGCTACAAAACAAATTAAATTTCTTACCGGAAATCTAAAAAAAATTATTTTGCAAAGAATATTTAAAAATAACTGATTAAAAATAACTGCAAATAATTTCTCTCTCCTGAATTTAATTTAATTAAACTTAACACTGAGATAAATATCATATACAATTCCTTTACTGCGGAAATATCTTTTTTTATATTTATTACAAACAATAAATAATATAATTGCTAAATGAAATCAGCTGATTGCACAGTAAGAAAGAGGTTATATAAAGAGGCCTGTATAAGCTTTACAAAAATGCGTCCAATGTACAAATCCAAATGTATAAAAAAAAATACAACTATTAAATTAATTTAATCATTAATTATTATCATAATTAAATATTAAATTAATAGAATTTTGTTTAATGCCGAAAAAAGATTAAGAACAATGTATATTAGAAATTTTATTTTATTCTAAAGCAATTCTGCCGGTCGAGTTAAATTAATTGAAATTTACTCAAAATCACCCAAACTTTTAAGTAAATTAATTTTAATCTTAGTTTAATTTACTTTTTGTCTTTTTCTAATTATAAAAATTAAAAAAAATGAAAAGTAAATTCAACCAAGATCAAAGTTAATCTACAGTAGTAGAAATGGACAGTAAAGGAGCTTATGAGAAAATTTTTAATGCGCGGCAGTATTTAAACAAGAGCAGTGCAGCCAACACGAAACCAACAACACTAGCAGCAGAGCAGTGCAGCCAAGAGTCAAAACGAATAATTTCGTAACTATTCGTCATAACCAATAATCTCCTTGGGTGGCCCGGTGTTTATATCCTTCGCATTTCGAGAGAATTGCAAAGAGGGTATCTTGCGTCAACGACGCAACTGGACGCAACAATAATGCTGGTACGTCGGTTACTGTGTAGAAAGCAATTGTGGCATGCCTCGTGCGTCTACATGCCTGTTCGTCACACGCAAAACCAGCGCGTCAGCCAACATGCACTGGACAAGCTTAATCTCGAAATTCGGCTGCCGGCCCCCCTCAAGAAGCAGCTGCAACGCAAGCCGTTCGCTAAGAATCTGTTCTTCGCTGTGTTCGATCACGAGTTCATGTACTATCCCGAGCCACAAACCAAGGACAGGCATCAACGTTTCTTCGAATGGCTCCAGCCTATCGAGAAGTACATGTCGAAGTGTCTGGAGAATCCGCAAAGCGTCCAGAAGGAAGACATTCTGGCTCATCTAAATGAGTTAGGTGTCTTTCGGGCGTGCTTAGACGAACAGCATCTCGGCTTGAACCTGAATCACTCAGAGTCGGCCAAGCTGGTGGAGGTACTCAGCTGCTTTCCTTGGCTGGGATGTTACATGATCAAGAACTACATCGTACCCGTTCAAATCATCTCTAAGCTGGCCTCAGAAGAGCAGAAAGCCAAGTATCTACCAAGGATAGCAACTGGAGAGCTCATTCCCACGGTGTGCTTGACTGAGCATGGAAACAGAATAAATAAACATAAGATCATCAGTACAGCTACAAACTCGGAAAGTGACACACATTGGTTATTAAATGGCGAGAAGATACTTGTAGTCAACGGGCACGACGCCAATCTATTTCTCGTCTTCTGTCACTGTGGCTATCGCCATATTATTAATGATGATTTGTTATCTATACTTCTGGTGGAACGTGATTTCGGAGGTATTACAATCAAGGATGTTAAGAATCTTGTTGGCCTTCAAAACAATCCGGTTAGTACAGTTACTTTTAAAGATACCGAAGTCCCAAAGGAGAATTTTCTGGGTGATCTGGAAACTCAATCATCGAATATACTAAACGACATACTCTCTCCTGGAAACAGAAATCTTGCTCCGCAAGCAGTAGGTACATTGAGAGCATTTACGAAAATGTTGACGAGGCACGTATTGCAAAGGAAACATTTAGATAGAAACATGCACGAGTATGAAAGTGTTCAAGAGATAATAGGTAAGATGGCAAGTACTCTGTATGGCATGGAGAGTATGTTGTATTATACCACTGGCATAATGGACACATTTGAGAATCAAGATTGCACGCTCGAGAAAGCTATGGTGGAAGCGTATTGTACTAGCGAATGCGTCGCACGTATTTACGAAGGCTTACAACTTATTGGATCGCAGAGTTACCTGAGGGAGAATCCTTATATACAAATCTTCGAAGATGCATTGTCATATATCCTGTTCGAAAATTATATTTTCGATTGCAACATATATATAGCTTTGATTGGTTTAAGACACACAGGCCAAAATCTAAGCGATCACATATTTAAGTTACGAAATCCCTATCTTTTTCCCCAATATATATTTAAGTGGATAATGGGTAAGGAATATCGAATAGAACTTAAACTTGCTGACCATTTGCATCCGTCTTTCGTATTAGGTAGCGTACAACTGGAGAAGTGTATCACCAGGTTGCAGACCACCTCGATACTACTGTTAAAACGCCATGGCACTAATATATCCGAACGACAAATGGAACTGCGTCGAATTGGTGAATTAGCAACGAGAACATTCGCACTGATTACTATTCTTTCGCGCGCTTCCAGGGCATATTGCATCGGCTTGAGAAACCACAATCAGGATAAGCACCTGGCCGACAGTTTTGCAATTCTCTCTATAGACAAAGTGGAGGCTCTTGCACAGGAGATTGAATCAGGAGAGTGGAACAATGGTGACAGGTTCAACAAAGAAGTTGCCGAACTTATGTACAGTAAAAAAGATTATTTCGCCGAACATCCGTTAAATAGAACCTATTAAACATTTGATAAATTTAGTTTATACACCATACATATGTGTATGTATATATATATATAATAGAAAAGAAGATAAAACAAGTTAATTCTTAAAACACATTTGCTTATTATAACCACTGTATTTAAGTAGCAGTCGTACGTTTTTGAATTTAAGATATTGATTTATCTGTAAATTAGTTTCAATCAACCTACTGTTTTTTTATTATATAATTAAGATAATCATTGTAAGTAAATTGTAAAAATGTACAATACATATGAATTCGCTCCAAGAAGGAATACACATCGTTTTCCATCGAGGTTTCTGTATTTATATGTCGGTAGCAATTATACAGTTGTATCTTACATTGTACTTATATATACTAAGATCGAGATGAAAAGTAAAATAAATGTTCTTACTCTAAACTCTCTTCTATCAGACATTCCTAAAATCTTTCTTTTTCAATTGCGAAATCACATGTCGCTTAATGTAGCTCGAGATACATATCTCTGCAATGTCTTTACTATTATCAACCATCGCTCGCTACATAGGACTTTTGATGTGTACATGAAGAGGTGGACGGTATTCTTCTACAGACGTAACATGACTAGTCGTCCTAGACGTGTAAATATGAAATTCTATATAGTATAGGATCACTGGAAGAACCTTAGCTTCACTCGTAACTTTTCTTATTAATATTTTACAACTATAGTCTTTCAGCTTGAACAACGACATGCTCTTCTCGATATGAATCGGTCGCAGACCAACAGCTTCTAACGCAAGTGTATATTAAAACAGTGCCGAACTCGATCTGGAAATTCCGATCGTTTCTTGGATTTAATATTAACTTTGGTATGATCGTCGGCAAAACTTGCAGCTCAAAAGTCATCTCGTCGCCGCAATGTCGACATTTACCGATACAACCGCTTAACGGATATAACAGTAATGGTGCAGAATTGTCCCTTGAATAGCTGAAAAATAAAAGTCATCATATACCTGTATAAAAATAAAATAAATAGAAAAAAATATATGTATATATTATACATTTTATTTTACACATACAAACGTATATAAAATGAAGAATAAAACATTATTAAAGACTTTACCGTAACAGCTGTCCAGGATTTCTTTGTATTCTACAAAGAAAGTTGTGGAACATCTCATCACCGTGTTTAGGAATGCTTTTCTCATACTTTTCCACGTCTGTTTCGATGGTTTTAGGATTGCCGGAATCTGGCGTAAACTTAGTCGATGCGTCCGGATTACTATGTTGATATTCGACCAATAAGTCTCGAACGTGTTGAGACACATCTATGCTACAATCCTCTTCGTCGACCGAGAGAAATATTTCCACAAACGAACACTTGGTTTCCGCGTTCGTGATTTGCAGTGGCAACGGAGTTACTTCGTGCAATAAACTAATTAAATCACATTGTGGTCGCGTTGGAGTATCAATGCATACGACTTCATTCTCATCTCCATCGATTTCTGCTGAAGCTTGAGGGGAATCTAAACGACCTACAGCACCTCCGCTAATTGGAGAATCTACACTGGCTGGACTGAAGCGTTCGAAAAAGAGATATACATATAGCTACTATTATTCATAAATAAAATTGATTTTAATATATACGAACCTATTTGCATTTGGATCATCCACGCGCAGTACAGACAATTCCTCTCGTATATCCTGGTCTATTTCTTTATGCAGAGAAAAGTGAAATTGTAACGGATCATTTTCTAACATGTTATTCCCATTTTGTTCCGATGCATTATCATTTACATTATCTCCCCAATCGTCTGCCTCAGATAACCAAGATGTCGTGGATGGTACATTAACGCTTCCAGAATCGGGCGTAGTCTTAGCTTCATCCTCTAGATGCTGTATTCTCAAGCATGTCCAGCTTTCATTTTGATTCCAACAATTTGAGTTGATACATGCAAATATATATAAAGTCCGATGATACTTTGAGTTATCTAACGGAGCATACAATTGAAGTGCCAAGAGTTGATATAAGCCACAGAGTCTACATTGTGGCGATGATAATATATTCTTCCCATAACAGTTCTAGGAAACAAACATTAGATATTATATGTTATAATTATTACTTGTATGATTATATACGTCAAGCAAAATAATGACTTATTAAATAAAATATTAATGGAATTGTTTGAACTATAATTAACATTGAAAAATGTATATTAAATATTTTTCCATGACAGAATATTTCATACATCATACGTATAATTATTTATTCATGTACCTATATAATATTTCATGTATTTGTATAAATATCATACTTTATTAAATTTATAACATTCTCCTAAATGAATGATATCGCAAATTGACCTAATAAAATATTAGTAATCGCGACGGAGGAAACGGCGATTCCTGGAAGGTGAGTCTATCATTCCCTACTCACTGGATGCCCGCCGATCTTGTTCGTCGTAAAGTTGAGCAAGGACCGGTGCTTGTCGGTAACGTACTCGTCCTCGTATCCCAGATATACCTTCGTACAATTGTCGCAAGCCATTTAAGTCATTCGATCGTAGCTCTACATTGGAAGACCACGGACGTGGAGCGAGGAACACCTGTACTCTTTCCCGTTTTACTTACGACCGGGACAGCTGACACGCATCAGTAACGCTCGACGCGTGCGCCTTTGTCGGTTCGTGCGTCTCCCTTATCGATTTTTTTGAGGCTGCCAGCAGCAGTCGGACATCACTAGAATATTCTCACTTCCTTATGACTTGAAAGAAACCATCGTTTTCTTATTATTTTGTCTTAGAACAGACACTGCGTCAATCTGGGGATATCCTGGGATACGCGTGCACGTGTTATAATAAAAAAAAAACCTATTCTTCCTAGCTTTGCACCTCCTGTAGTTAAAGTGAAACAGATATAGATTCGGATAACGAAGGTAGAAAGAGAAAAGAGAGAAATGCAGTGCAGCAAGCGCAGTTCAAACAAAGTACATATCTATGGTATATACTAGTAGTATATATAGTATATATTAGTTTTTCTTCTACATATTTGTATTTAACATTTTCTTTTTTTTTTAAGAGAAAAAAAATAAATTTACATAAGTTTTGCTAAAATAAAGAGAACATTATATGTTTAAGTAACGCTTGGCATCTCTCTGTATTTGCAATATTTCTCTCTCTCTCTCTCTCTCTCTCTCTCTCTCTCTCTCTCTCTCTCTCTCTCTCTCATTCACTCACTCTCTGCAAGAAAGAAGGCAAAATGCATATCAAATTGATACAAATAGTAGATTTTATTTTATAAATTCATTAAGTAAAAAAAATGTAAATTACCAATATGTTTGCTTATCGCTAAATATCATTTTCACTATTTTCTGACTAATCAGTCTCATAGTATGAGTAGGCACTACAGATGTGTATAAAACGCAAAGTATATTGTCACCATGTTTCACAGCATGACATTTGTGATATTCGGAACACAAGTATGTTTCTTTAGCCCCGACAAATTTCCAGGTACTCGTTAATTTTTCATCGTTACTCTCTTCGTGTTCGATTGACAGCGCGAATGTTTCGACCGCTTGATGATAAAACGTTCGTAAAATATCTAATCTGTGCGATCCCGTCACGCGATTTTTCGCGCATTGAGAGTTTTTGCCAAGTACGAATTTTTCTATCTTATAATTTGCCAGTAGAAATCTGAAAGGTTCGTAGAATATTATAATAATCAATCACATAAATAGATGAAACAGATAAATAACTTTTTCTATTCCAGTTACCCAAGTGTTTCACTATCTAAAGAGACCGACATAGGTAAGTTTCGTGGATAACACTGTTCAACAGTGCATAATGCATCCATATTGCTCTTCCAGCATTGCATAGCATATCTCTCAATTTCTGTTAATTCTGGATTTGGTCCACATAATGCCAATACTTCTACGTGATTAATTAGAGTTACAGATACCAATCTGAAAGCTACCTAAACAAGACGTTGTAAATCGAAGTTATAGTTATATATAATTATTCACATATACTTTTCAGTTTATTTTTTAATTTTAGAAAATATAATATATGTACACATTTCCCTAAAATTAAAAATAAATTTCCCTAAAAGTAAAAATACTTACGTTTGAACTTTTACGAGGTAAAAACACTGGAATGTCTCGCGTAGTACAAATACTCTCTGAAGCAATCGCAATTGTTAATAATTTTCTTTCCACAGGATCCAATGACCACCAGCCTTCTGTAGCAGCTGCTACACAACCATGCACCAAAACGCATCCATACATTGAGTCTAGACATTCCATAAATCCCTCTAAACAGGTCTTGAATACGTATTTATTGGTTATTATATATAATTTCACTGTAACTGCAGTTTAAAACTAATTGTCTAAACATCGATAATTTTTTTCAAACTTGTCCGGGTGCAAAAAATTGTAGTTTCACGCATATATTATTGCATTGATAGTTAATTTGAATAATTCTGAAACTATCAGCGTGCCAACGTGTTGCGTGTGAATGAAAAAAATGTTTCAAATAAAAATTTATATAGTGAAAAGAGTTTGAAAAGGGCCATTAGATTTGACTTACTTAGATTTTGAGTCCTAGGCCTACTTCGGCCAAGTCTTGCATTCATTAATTGGAATTTCAAAATCAGAACTTTTAGCGCTATTTTTTATTATTTGGAAGAAAATTCAGCGAAAAATTACCACAAAAAATTTTATTTTTTTCTAATAAAATAGAAATCTGCAATAAAATATAAATTGTTATCAAAAAAAATTAATTTAAGTCTTATCAAATTCAAAGTGGGCCCAAAATCTAAGTAGCCCTCATCTGATTCCCTCTTCAAATCCTATAACTTTCATATAAAAGTTTTTTCAGAAATGCATTATTTTTGAGATGTTTAGTGTCTAAAATGGGACGCCTTGTATATTAGTGCAATGTCCAGACAATTAGTTTCGTGATTGTAGAGTAAGATGGCATAATTTCAAATATGGTGTAATTCTGAACAAAATAAATTTTGAATTAAATTTTCGAAGTTGATAACCCTTTAAAGTTTCAAGTTTGATAATTTTCATTATGTGGAAAGGACTGAAGGATGCCGAACAGAAAAAAAATCCACTTGAACT